CGGCAGAACAATGATCCTTGATGTCTTAATGCATAATGAGACGCCTTGAACAAGCACTATGAGTTGTTCGATCTGCCTACACCCCCTCTATTCCATTAATAACAAATAAGGTTTGGTTCTCTGGGAACCCACTAAGCTTTGCCACAACCAGGCCCCAAAACCCTACACCCTACGGTCCACAAAACCCTACATCCTACGGTTTACGGTTTAGCAGTCTCATGCGTCGTCAACTGCCCCCACAATCCAAGCAGGGTACAGAGACCGCTAACAGTCAGATCCAAGCCCCACCTTGAACTACGTACGATAAGCTACTTGTCTCCCGTTGTTGTTTCTCGCGGATAGAGGGTCGTTATATAGGGCCCCTGCAGAAAGGTAAGTCTTGGTGGGTTGCCTTTGGTTATTGTTTCCCGAACAGTCCCTACAACCTAAACCCTAAAAAACTAAACCCTAAACCCAAAACCCTAAATCAAAAGCAAGTTTGGGCAGGGCAAAGTAGCCCCCAAAGCCCAAATTCGCCCACAGAACTGAAGCACAAAGAATGCAGGGGCCTTAATGATTAGAATGGGTTTTTTGGGGGCTCCTGTTAAGGGCTCCTTAAAGGGTTCTACAAGGGCTACTATGAGGGTTTAGGGTTTAGGGGCCTTAATAATTAGAATAAGGTTTTGGGCTCCTTCATATTATAGATATAGTCGGGAACCCTAAGAACAATATTTGTAATTATTTTGGCTTGTACATTAGGGTTTACGGTTTGGGGATAGGGCTTAGGGTACAGGGCTTGGGGTTTAGGGTTTGGCATGCGCCATTCAAAGACACTATAGGGGTCCGCGACACTTGAAGGCAATGTAAGAGCTTAGCAGCTTAAACTCATGAGGGTTCATTATTATCGTAGTAGAAATCATACGGACGGAAGGGCAATTACTTTTTTTGCTAAATGTTCAGACAAGCAGACTATGCTCCGAAAGCTAGATACTGCAACTCGAGCTGGATTCTAACCTTCATAAGTTGTTGAGGTGTTACCTACAGTCTTCATTGTAGCTACTTTTGGATTTCTGTAGTCCGGGTCCTAAATGGTAAGCTAAAAAACGAACTGTGATGGAGAGTTTAGGTAGAGTTTGGGTAGTGAGACTTTTATAAACGTAAACCCCACTTGGAGGTCATGAGACTGGGTAAGTCAGGGTTTAAGTACGTTGATTGGGATTTTAAGTAAGTAAAACTAAGTATAGTTACCTTGTTCATACCCTCCGTTACGAAGCTGTGAGCAAGCCCTGAACCCTAAAATGCGCACATCTCCTCCATGGCGAAGGTGATGCCCGCCAGCGGCGCATTAAAGGAGGCCGCGAAACCGCAGGAAAAGCCCAGCGACGCGAGAAGAGATTGCCTTGTCAAGTTCCATGTACGGGGGGCCTTGAAGTAGTACAGGGGTCTTAAAAGTTGGCATCAGTCCTCGGGTATAACCTATGTATATATATATATATAATGTTATTACTACAAGAAGGCACCTTGATTAGAAATTATGTTACTGTCCGGACGGGCTCAGGGTCAATCAGAGTTGGGGTTTTTACGGTGTTGTTAGAGCTTAATCAGGGTTCCCGCGAGGCACATTCCTGAAATCATAGTTTAGTAATCGTCCATGTGCCAGCGCATCCATGCTCAAAGTATACCATACAACAGAGCATCCGTTTAATTACCAGAGCATCCATGCCCAATCCACAAAAACGTCCGTTGAGTCTTTAAAGACACACTTTGGGCCACGGAAACAGTCATGCTCTTGCACAGATCTAAAGCATCTCACTGCCGGGTCTCATGTTTCCATTCCCAGAACCCTCGAAGACATCGTAAAAACCACAATATTTCAGGGGCCCTCATTGTTATAACAGATTGAGATACGCAAAAAACCTATTAAAATTGTGACGGCCCCTTCTAAGCCCTATAGTACCCTAAACCCTAAACCCTAAACCCAAAACCCTAAACCCTAAACCCTAAACCCTAAACCCTGCTCTGAACTTCAACAAAAACCCGACACTCTAAACTTCAAAGCCTTCAAGACTGAGGGA